CGAAGCCGCCATCTATTTGCTTAGCAGTGTCTGCACGATTCCCCCACACGTCTCGATCCTCCCTATCATCAACACCAACTTCACCCACCATATCGCCGCCTCACTCGCCGACAACACCCTCATCGTCGGCCAGAACTCCATCTCCCATCCGTCAGCCCCAACTGCTCTCTCGCTCTCTGGCGAGACCCCTGCCACCCTAACCCCCACCCGTGAAACAGAACTCCATGACAGCATCGAAGATGCCAATCTCCCCGGATCTCTTCCCACCCTCCGCCGCCAAAACATCGTCTTCTCCAAAGCCGACGAAGAGGACCTTCCTGCCCGCATCGAACGCGTCTGGTACATCAATCCCTACGGCCAGGAAATCCGTCCTCCCGCCTCTCCACGCGTTCTCGAGGCTCTTCATGCTGCGAAAGCCGTCATCTACAGCATTGGCTCCCTCTACACTTCCGTTGCTCCGAGTCTGATCCCACGCGGCGTCGGCGAGGCACTGAGCAGTCCGAACATCCGGATTAAGATTCTGATTCTGAATGGGTCGATTGATCGGGAGACGGGACCTCCTTGGGCGCCGATGACGGCGATAGAATTTGTGGGCGCGATTGCCAAGGCGGCGACCGGGACGGACATAGAAGGGGAGGAGGTGGTGGCGAGGAAGGAGCACGCTAGGTTCGTGACGCATGTAATTTACATTGATAGTCCCGATACGCCAAAGGTAGATCGGGAGGAGCTGGCTAGCTTGGGCATTGAGTCGGTGAAGTTGTATGGGAGGAAGAACAGGGATGGGAAAGGGGTGAGGTATGATGCTACGGCGTTAACACAGGCGTTGGAGGCGATTGTAGGAAGGAAGGCGGAGAGGGAAGGACCTAGCAGAAGGAATACACTGCATCATTAATGACCGGCCATAGACTTATTAAAATAAATCCTCTGCACGATGCGCCAATCCAGGTATAATACTTACGTATCAATCGATGGAACTTGATTTACTCCTCATTACTGCCTTATCATGCCTTCAGCTGCTACATGATCATAAACGTAATTGTAGAGACTGAATCACTTGCTCAGGAGCCAGACACATCCTCAGCAGGGATATTTACTTAGGTATCTTTAAGGTGAGGCTCCTGAAAGAACTTGCTGACTCTTGCCTTCCGATCCTGAACATCGTTTTGTACCTTCAGCACCTATGGAATGGTAATGAGTTTGTCAGGCATAAAGACTGTTTCAAATCGCTATGGTAAATCATAATCTCGTCTGCACTATTAGCATTAAAACACCCTAAAAATGCCTACTATGCCGTTGGGAGATGCAATTATGCTCAAGTAGACCCAGCGGACTCCATTCATGCCATAGACGGACACCAACGCCAAATCTCACTCGACAATGCATTCCCGCTTAGATGCTCCCATATCTAATCCTCTCCATCCGACGCCCACTCTTCTCTTCTTAACAGAGCCTGCCTTTCATTATCATTCTCATTTCCGCCATGCCTCACCTGCCCCTTCACCACAACTCTCTGCTGCGGACTCGGCACCCAACCTCTCATCCACCCCGTTACTCTCTGCCAACTGCTCGGCCTTTCCAAAGCCAAAACGTCATCTCCCCCCTCCCCTCCGCCATCACTTTCCGCCCGATCTCCCACTCCCTGAATCCTAATCGGCACCGCCCTCCTCGCCTCCCTCGCCTCCTCCAACGCATCCGCCACCCCCTGCGCCGCCTCCTCTCTACCCACACCTCTCTCCATTTCCCCCTCCCCCCCTCTCTCCACCTCCACCACCACCTCCGTCGCCTTCCTCCCCCCCTCCCCATACACCAAAAACTGCACGCCCACCGCCGCATCCAGCGCGAGCACGCCGGCCGCCCCCAAAAAGAACGGCAGCGCTCTCCCGACCCATTCCGCCCTCGCGCTGCCCTCGCCGCCGACCCAGCCGCCGCCGCCGTACGCGCCGTAGTCGGACCAGGCGCAGGGGTTGGACAGCAGCGAGGAGGAGTAGAAGAGGTTGCCGAAGAAGGCGGCGAGGAAGAGGGCGGGTGAGAGGCCCGCGGTGGAGCGGCGGCGGAGGTTCTTGAGGAGTTGGGGGAGGCGCGAGCCGAGGTAGAGGAGGGTGGAGAGCCAGGAGAGGAGGGTGCCGGCGAGGACGGTGGGAGAAGAGGAGGTGGTGGTGGTGGTGTGTGTGGTGGTGGATGGGGGTGGGGAGGTGGAAGGGTGGTGCGGTGATGATGAAGAGAGGGAGAGGGAGAGGGAGAGGGGCGCGGCGAAGGGGCTGATTGCGCGGGGCGCGGGGGAGGCGTGGACTTGGATGAGGGCGAGGAGGAGGGAGAGGAAGAGGAAGGTCTTTGGGGTGGCGATAGCGAGCGGAGAGTTTGAAGGTTGGGTTCGGTAGATTGAGCGTGGCCGTGGGGATGAAGAGGAGGAGCTGGGGGTTATTTCGCCCAGTTTCTCAGCTCCGTTGGTGGTAATCGATCCGTAGTCCGGTGTCTTCCATACCTTCTCCGAAGACAGTATGGTTATCTGCTCAATTGATTGAGCATCATCCCTGTCCTTCTTGTTTTTCGGCGTATTGCTCTGTGCCGACACCACCTCGTCCAATGGTTCTATACCCTCTACCAAAACTCCAGCATTCCTACCTCCTCTTCTATCATTTGATGTATCTTTCCTCGCCCACCATATGATCTTTCCATTCTTCCCATGCTTCAATTTTTCATACCAAAACCACTGGCCCACCAGCACCACGTCCACGAAAACGTAATATCCTGCAATGATTATTTGCCATGTCGCCTGATCCGTGAATTTTGCCCCGAGCAAGTTCGACATATCACCAAGACACCATTCCACCAAGAAAAAGATGCTAAGTCCAGACGTTGAGCCGACCTTGTAGTTCTTGTAAATTTGTGGGAGCTGTGCGAATAGCCAGGACGCGATGCTTAGAGTTCCGAGAGCTGTGGAGAGAAAGGCGAGAGGCGTCGGGATACATGTGTGGAAATAGGCAGAGAAATGTCGGAGGAACGGGTTTGTGGGATCGCAGTGGTCGGGTAAGGAAGAAACGAATGTATTGATCGAGGATAGCGAGGCCATACTGTAATTTCGAATCTGAAGATGAGTTTCTGGACGAATTCAATGTCTGAGAGGCATTGGCGCTAGATCTTGGGAGTTCGTTGCTCAGTCCGAATTTGCTAGAGCTCGTAGATGTCACTCAAGAGTCGCACGGTGGCTGCCTGCAGCTGAACAATGGCCCACCTCAGAGTCCAGCACAGTAAGACCCAGAATTCTCTATTGAGTCGACAGGAGATGACTTTGCGCCGTTGCACAGCGACAGAATGACGTGTCCTAGTATTGAGCCTGTCGTGGGGCGGATTGTGCAAGTCATGCGATAAGAGAGCCAAGATTACGTTGATAACGAAAAACAACACGATGAATTAGAAGTTCCAAAGCTCGGGATTAGGACAACGATGCAGCGCAAGCAGAAGAGAAGAAGCAGTAAAGCAAGAGACACCTGAAGGAAGCAACATCTCAACATTGCTACTTAGCCAACGGCGCGTACTAAGAAACGCCCTATCGTACTGCGTGCTCCGAGGTGGAACATGGCGGCGTGGCCGTTCTCCGTCCGGATGACTTGCTCAGTAGGTCTTCCTAAGTAGATGGGAAGGTTGTTCGAGGGGGTCAGATCGGATGCACCGACTCAGTTTGGACATTTGTCGCTATCATTAGCACCGGACTGCTCACGAACCGATGGCTGGGACATGACTGATAAGGGCACTGCCAGTCGTGTGAAGGCAGCAGGTGAGTGGTTGTTGCAGTGGTTGCCTCCACGCGGATAGAGTAGCTCGGTAGCCGTGCGGGGGTGCAGGAGCGATAAGCGATTCTCGCCATGGCAATCGTCGCTCTCCTGGGCCTAACGCCGAAGGTGCAGTGGTGCTTTAGCTAATTAAGATTATGTACCTCTTACCTCACTCACACAAATTAAAAAAGATGGTAGGGAAACTTATGACCTTCAGTACTAAGTAAAGCGTTAATTTTGGATCAGATTAGCGCGTGTGGCCGTCTTTACTCTCGTCTCCTCATCCCCCCACCTCCCCGTCTCCGTTACGCTTACCAAGGATCGTGGCGCCTGCGCACAATGCTCTCTAGTAGTGCTGCCTGTCCGACGACGTTCAAGTGACCAAGTATGGTCAGCTTGGGTACTACAGGCTGACCGTGGACCGGACATTCCCACTCTCCAATCGCCTGAGCAGTGCTACAGGTATTCCGTACCTTGTGGTCTGAAGTGCCGTAAGTACGGAGTATTGTTGTGAGAATCTCGCGGGATTTCATGCTCAGTATCCAGCTGCAACTCATCGGATCCTTATGCCTTGACGTTGTATGAAGAGGTCTCTGACTGTACCACTCCAGTTCCTTTTCTGAAATGTCCCATAATAGGATTTTCGTACCTCTTCTCAAACCCTGTTCAAAAAGTCTCTATTTCGTTTTCGCATATTTCCTCTTATAAGTAGACCGTCAGCTTAGAGTCCATTCCATTACCATGCCCGAGAAGGTCTATTACCCTATAGATATCGACTCCTATTGACAATGTGAATAATTATAAGTGTGAGATGTCTATATGCGCTTAGGCCTCTCATAAAATGAACAGTAATGAGAAGGATGACGTACGTATTAGTACTATTCGTCCGACTAAGAAATATCCAATTTTGAAACGGACCACCACACCCCAAAACCTCTCATCTCAACCAATTTGGCGTTTTAATATTTGGTTACTTGACTGTTAGCTCTGCGCAATTCATACAGCCTTTTACAGAAGCTATTATATCGACAAGATGAGAGGTGCAGAAGGTGCGGAAGCACAAGAGGTTTTGGGGTGTGGTGGTCCGTGTCAACATCGGACATTTGGTCGGGCGGATATAAGTAGGTAGGTACGTATACACATTTTAAACTTACCCGGCCCGCACAAACCAACAGGTGTGCTCAATTTGACAGAATATAACATAATACTTGTTTATTAATTAATCGTGTTCTTGTGGCGCAGTGGTAGCGCGCCGTTCTTATATTGGTCTTTTGCACTGATATGGTCGCTTGTATAAGTCATGCGGATGTCCTGGGTTCGACCCCCAGCAGGAACAACTCATAGTTTTTTGAACCAGTACTCGAAGGAGTTTGATGCTTCCAGAAATATGTAGGTGTGTCTCTAATGCGTTGGGTCTTCATTCCCCAACCAAACGTTTACATCATGAATTTTTTTCATTGAATCCTTTTTCGATATTTTTTTCACCTCAATCTTCGATCCCTTCTTTCCTCGAGTTATCTTTTTCCTTTTCTTCGCAGGGTTTTTATCTGTTTATTTAGAATATTATGGAGTGTACTGAGTAAGATCAAAGACCTTTTGATCCTGATCTTAGAAAAGGTCCCACCAGGACGAAAGACCACACTACACCAATTTCACCTTCTTGGTCGACCTCTTCTTGAAAATGAATGATTCTTTGGTTGAGGTCTTCTATTATCATTGTCCCCAATGTGAAATTTACAACGGGGATATACAAGCAAAGAACGCTACACTTCCATAGATAATCTAGGATTTGCTTTTCCTTTGCTGCTTGCTGAGGTACTCGTAATAACAACACGGTCACGGTCGGGAGGGAAGGAGATAAGATGCATGCACCATTAGGCAGCTTCATGCAGTTTCAGGCCGTCTGGGCTTCGAATACTAGCCGACAGGTTAGACCTAGGATTTCTATGTCGCCTTGAGGATATGAGGAGAAGAACGCAAAATCTCCTTTAATACCATGCTCGGATAACATGCTTCGTACTACATGGAAGGCTGACTAATGACACCGTTTTGAAGAGTTCATTAGAGGTTCCAGCCAAGAAAGTGGCCAGTGTCGGGGAAGCCGATTTGAATCATCCAGAGTGGCCAGCCGCGGCTGTTATACCCTCGCTACTGCAACCGATACAAGGACTGACGATGACCTCTCGATTTGAAGTACCTCAGCGAAGGGTACATCGGAGACTAGCAACGAACCATGGGCAGACACGCATACAGCCTACAGGAGCGGAGCAGCCGTGCGAATAGATGGTGGTCCATGTTGAATACGGAGTATAGAAGCGAGGCATAAGAGGCACCCAGTACTGACGCAAGCAGTGGGTCGAATCCTTGAGAGAAGTAACTCGGCTCGCCTGCGGAACGAATTGCCAAATCGCTCTCGGTGTCCTTATGTGAACTTTCCAAATGACGTTAACCTCATCACAGGCGTACGTGATATTCTAAGCTTTTTCGCTTCATGCGACTGCTTTCCCAGTTTCTGCCCTTTGGAGGATCCGAAGCAGGGAGTAGGGAACCGGGAACGAAACGCTTTCCTGATGAAGTGAAGGGAGGCGAACACCGAATTTCGTGCGCTTGAGCCCTCTACTTGCTGCAGTCTTGACGTTGTTCTTGCAAGTCATGAATAAGGTGAACAAATTTTCAACTATGGTCTGTGGTCATGGTCTCTTCATCTGCGTCATGGTCTGAATGCAGTTTTCAAGGGAAATCGAATTGAAATTACCCAACTACTCAGACCTTTTCTAATGTCGCGTGCTAAATGACGGCTTCGGATCGAATCCATCACTGTCAAGAATGTAAACCCAGGATTCAACCCCGTCTTGAAAACGGAGACACGCGCGCCTGAGCATTATTGTGGAAACTTCGTCAAAAGGTGTCAGTAATGAAACTGCGCGCTAGCTGGCAACAGAGAGAGACTAGGATTGGGAGCGGATTTCAGACTTGATCAGTGATCGCTCGTCGGTCCAAGACCCAAACGCAGTTCAAATGGAATCTCCGGAGAGCACTGTCAATTTATAACTGGAAGTTGTGGAGAAGGCTACGGCGCTTGGCGAGAAATGGCTTAATCGCAGGCATGACTGAGGGTGGCAAGCCTTCGGGGCAACGTAGCAGTGGGTCAACCCTGGATGTAGTATTGAACATGTGGTCGGACTTTTCTCACTTTCCCTGAGGGTGACGCTTTCTTCAATCCAAGCGAATTTTAATTGTTGGGTGGTACCTTGAGCCGGCCTCGTAGAAAAGTGGGTGAAGAAGCCCGGCCTCCCTTCCCACCTGACCTATGCCAGATTAGTCAAATATCAGACAGGGCATACGCTCCATCACTCTACATGTTGACCTGTATCATTGCATCGGAGTAGAAGACTTCGCAAGCATGAGATACACATCAACCTCGGGCAGGCTTTACCCGTGTCCCCTCCCATGATATACTTTAGGCAATAATGAAGGAAGTATCCTGCATATCAGAAATTGTCGGCTCCTCCGGGACCTCGGAAGGGTGGACATGCGTGCATGTTCCAACCCATTGTTCCACAACATGATGCAACGGGTCAGAACGGGCCGGACAAGCTCCCGACATGCAGTTTCATGGGGTCCAGGTCGGGAATAAAGACGACCTTTGCGAGCTTCCTGAAGGGGCCTGGAGGCTGATATGAAGTACCGGAAGGTGATTTGTGACGAGATGGTACACGGGAACTAGATGCGGCGACCTTTAATGTAAAATATCCAGGTACGAGAGTAGAGGCAGTGACAAGAAGGGAAACAAAGTCAGTAAAGTCAGTCCATGACAGCAGACTTAGCTCTTGAATAGCAGTCGAAATGAAATATAAGTCTTCGTGCTTGATGGTGGATAGTTATTTGAGACGAGTCACATCCAAGAGCCTAGATGATCAGCTCTTTGATGATTGAAGTTAGTAAACACGGCGTTGTCCGGCCCTATTTTCAAAATGGAAAAAATGGAAGGGAAGCGAGCTAAGCACGTGATCTGAAATTTTCCATCGCCAAATCAGGTTGCTTCCTCACAGGCAAGCTTCATAGGAGTTGGGTAGGAGCTACAACTGAATCTTTTATCCTCATGCCTCCTCGACTCCAATTTCCAGTTCGCACATCCTGTATTGTATCCAAATCGCTAGGGCCAAATTCGATTGCGCCGTTTCTCCTCCCTTTTCTGCATCCTCAACTACCCAGCTGTAGCCAACCATCTCAACGACTTCGAAACAACCGCAACGCATCTGTTCTGTCCAATCTCACGTCTCCATCTGGTGCATACAGCAAGAAGATTAGGCGTGGTCGGGGTCCAGCCAGTGGGAAAGGAAAGACAAGTGGACGAGGCCACAAAGGACAGAAACAACATGGCAAGGTACCAAGGGGATTTACCGGTGGACAGACGAAGGAGGAAGTCGTGAAGGGAAAGAGAGGCTTCAAGAATGTGTGAGTCAGAACCTTGTTTGCGTGGAACGTCGTATGATAGTCACATCAGACACCTTTTGAAGAGGAGGAGGCTATAGATATGGGAATTAGTGGCGATGTTGCTCGGCCAGTAAATCACTAGGTGGAGTTAACATAGCATCCAACCCAATATGTCTTCAGGCTGTAGGATCGACATTCGGAGATTTGCTAATTAGGAGTCTGAACAGCTTCGCAGCCGAATTATCACCTCTCAATCTCGACAGATTGCAGACCTGGATTGACGAGGGCCGTCTCGACACCTCGAAACCCATCACACTAAAGGAGCTCAATGATTCTCGATGTCTTCATGGTGTCAAGGCAGACGGTGTGAAGCTTCTGGCACGGGTAAGACCAATAAAGTCTTCTTTCTTCCCCTTCTATGATTGCTTCCAATATCTCCTTACCGCATGACGACAATCATGTTTCTTACTAAATATTTTCCTTCTTACAGGACGCCCACAAGCTCACCCACCCAATCAACATCGTTGTCTCTCGCGCCTCCGCTTCCGCCATCGATGCCGTCGAGCGCGCCGGGGGACAGGTCATGACCCGCTACTACACCTGGCAGAGTATCCGACGGATTCTGCGCGGGCAATCGCATCCGACCGGGCCCCTCGAAAACTTCCCAATCAACCCACCCCTCGCCTCTGTCCTCTCTCAGCCTATCCCTCTTACCCTATCCGCACTACCGCCCATCACTTCGGCCTCGCAATCCGCGGATACCAGCGCCGCCACTACAGACACGGAAACGGCTTCGACAGCAGCGCTCGCCAGTAATATAGCTGGTGCATCGACCCTCGAAAAGGGTCGCTACGAATACACTCTTGGCTACCGGTATCGTCTGCCGAATCCGGCGTCACGGAAGGCAATCGAGTATTACCGGGATCCAGCGCATCGTGGGTATCTTGCGCACACGCTGGCGGAAGGGGAAGGGCCCAGTCTGTTCTTCAAGACCGCGGTAGTACAGGCTAGGGAGAGGGAGAAGAGGTTGGAGGCGAAGAAGGCAAAGGGGTTGGGGCAGACAGCGAAGGATGGTAAGAAGAGGGAGGAGGGGCGGTTGTGGTAGAGATGACGCAGAAGGAATTTGGTGGTGTACTCCATACTGCGTAGTAGCATTGTTTGTCGATAAATGCATAAGTCAAAGCTCTGGCCAACGTTCCTTGAGGTTCTTTTCTCTATGGCAGACTACGAGTCTAACCAAGCCCGCATCCACTGGCTGAGCGAGGGTGTTGCGACTTGGTCCCAACTTTCGTCTGTTAATGACACTACTCTCGCGGAAGATTGCAGACCACCGGTGTATAGGTCGGCGCCATCTTCTTGCATCAACGGAATGCCACTGAAGACCGCGGATCATAGGAGGACCTATGTAGCTAAATTTGGATCGAACCGCGTCTTCAGCCGTGCCCGACGCTGATGTTAAGCTGTAGAGTTCTCGCGCCCGGAGAATTCTTTCTTTGGTTTGTACGGCATAGAGATCCGTGGCTCATATTGAGTCAGACGGGATGTTCTTGCTGGGTCCGGGAATGACGAGGTCCAGGTTAATCATCACTCGGCGTTGGTTCTATATGAAGGTGCGTAAGGTAAAGTTTCGCGAATCTGCCTTGGGAAGGGTACAGGGAGATAAGCAAGTTAGTTCATTCCAAGACTGCATCCTGGAGGAGGTACATTAGGCAGAGATTGAGTTGAAGTTGGCACTACTGTACTGTAATTGTAGGGAGTACAGCCTGGGGTAACTAAAAATCCAGTCACTTGGATATACGGGAATACGCTTCATGTGAGAATAGCGCTAACTCGTTTGTTGGTATTCCCGGTCCATTATTAGGATCCATGCGGCGAAATTTTGAGTGGAGAAATGCGTTT